TTGAAGCAAATTGATTGTTCACTTACTTTCTCCTGGGAGCTTTCCTCGAGGTTTTTTTTGCCCTTGATTGTTATAAATTTAGGAATGAGCAGTTACAGATGTGATGGTTTGAGCTAGTCTGTTCACTGACAAGTAATTTAAATTTTTCTTCTCTTTTTATGGGGAGTGGGTTGCTTTTGTTTGCACTCCTCCTGCCAGTACTATAAGAAAGATTTGTGCATCATAGCAAATCCTTGCTGCAAGGAACATAAAACAGCTACTTAATTTCTCTTTAAAGGAGAAACACTCTGGTTTGGCCTCTGGTTTTCACTCCATTAGGAATATATGGATCCAAAAAAATATGCATCCTGGAGAGTTCATGGTTTTAAATCCATGCTGGGGAGTTTATTTACTTATTTATTTATTTTAAAATCCTTTTTAAAACTCAGACATATGTCTACTGGAAATCTACATGGCTGCTTCAAATTCTCCCTGTGTGAGTTGGTCTTAGGGGGATTTTTTTTTTTACAGCCAAAGACAGCTAGGTACAAAAATGTCTCTATCACCTTGCCCTTTTAATCTGCCCTTTTTGGGTCAAGAAAGGAGGGAGGATGGACACACCTTAGTTATCTGCTCCCAGCCCTAATATGATGTATGGACAGCTGCAGTTCCTCCAAACTTTTATGATTTATGGAAGTTTTCCTGGTTGGTGACTATGCTGAGGAACCATTTATTTTCCTTCTGGCTTGAGGTGTGTCCCCTTTTGTAAACTACCTGCAGCAAATCTGGAGTCTGTTCATTGCAGTAATTTAATGCTAATGACTTGCTTCACTGAACAGCAGAGAGGAAAAATAAGTTAAAATAATCCCAACAGATAAAAACATCATGACTCAAAGCCCTGCACAGGAAATAAATTAATATTTCAGTGTAAGGCCTCGGGAGGTTTTAATTTATAATGTGAGCTCATCTTAAATACTTCATGCATAGGTGTACATTTTAGAGGATTTTTAAATTTATTTTACTTTACTGATACAAGCTCTACAGCCAGCAACACTGTGGGGAAAAACTGAAGTTAATTTCTGCCCAATATTGCTGTGCTTATCCAGACTTTATTTTTTCTCCTAGTTATGTTGTTTTGCTTATGAGCTTTGTATTGTTAATTAAGTGCTTTCTGTTGTTCGGATAAAAAAAAAAGAATCAACAGATACCAAATCCTGGTTGGCTTCAAACTTGTAAGTAACTTAAAAGAAATACAAGCCTGACTTATATGGTCACATAATACCCTTATACCACTTTTATTCTGTGGCTGGCTGTTGCCTAACATTTTATTACTGCACATAAATATATTTGTACTGCCACATTTCGTGCCTGCTCCTGCACTGAGCCAAGTGGAAGCAGCACAGATGCAATGTGGAAATTGAAATGAAGATGATACATAATACTTACAAGAAGCTTGACTAATCTTTATGCTGAAACACAGCAAAAGCAGCTACGTGAATAATAACACACATTCCTAATGCAGATTTTTATTTATTTTTTTTTTCCAGTGGATGCACTGCATTGAAAAAGGCAGCTTATATAAAGCTGGAAGGTCCATAGAAGTCAGTAATGGAATTACTGCAGTTTGAAATCTCACTGTGCTGGTTTTGAGGTCCTTGTCACAAGGTACACCAGCTCTGTGCATATCAAACACCCTGCTGTAGATTCCCCTTCCCTCTGTCATGGGGTGGAAGGGCTGGGCTCAGACCCTGACTCCTCTAAGTGAATTTTGCACCACTGTGAAGGCTGAAGGAGGGTTTTAATCACCACCACAGTGCCTGATTCACATTCCCAGCGTGGAAACACAATTCTTTTGGGGAGAATAACATGAGTTCAAAAAAAAAATAAAAATAAATGAACCCAGAGGCACCACAAGTTTGTTGTTGGGAGGATGGATCTGCGCTGCCTGCCAGTCTGGTTGGGGTTTTGGGCATCAAACAGCCATCCCACGGTGCATTTCCAGGGAGAAAATCCTCCCTCAGCCAAAAAACACACGTCCACTGGCAGAGACAAAGGAGAGGCACAAGAGCTGTCTCTGGTCCTCTGCTGCTGCCAAAAGGATGGACACAGGGAGGCAGGAATAACGCTGGACCATCAGCCGTGCCCCTTATTCCAGTTCAACCTCACTGTTGCTGCAGCCTCTCCTGCTAACAGCAGGAATAAATTCACATATGACATTCCTAGATAAAACCAGGAAAGTGCCTCATTTGTTTTTTTTCCCACTGAAAGAGATTTCTTCCACGCCCATTTCTAAGCCACTAGGAAGCCATGATCAATCCAGTGAAGGGACAAGGAGAAAATACAATAGCATGTTGTTTCCCTTTTTTCCCTTTGAAAAACAGTATGATATGTCTTGGAATAGTCAGAAACACCTTTTTATTTTTATTTTTTTCCCAACCCTGGTGGGAAGATCTCTTGGAGAAAAGATCAATATGATGACTGATTGCTTTGAGAATTTCTTCACTACCTGTCACTGACCCCTGAATGGGATGTATTCACTCTGAGACAAGGAATGTTGAGGAGTTACTGGATAGGTTTTTAGAGTCTGTGCTCTATACATCACTTTATGAGTACAATAGCCTCTCTTGACCTACTAAAACACATTGGTAAAACTCATCATTCACCTCCAGTGAGAGGAGGACCATTTACTCTTTCCATTATCTAGGTCAGGGGAATCTTTGGAGAACTAATTACCTCCCTAAATGAAGAGAACTTTGACACCCCACCCCAAACCTACACACACTGAGGTGTTAAAAGCAGGTGGCCACTTTGGCTTGTCACTCATCCAGATGTTACCAGAGGGTTTTTGTGAGAAATGGTCCTATTACACCTGATAAACCTCCTTCCATGTCCTCACACTCCAGATCACACAGAGAGACAGGCATGAAAGTGCTTTCAGGACACAGAAGATGAGGCAATCTGGAAACTTGCTTCTGCTTTCGTCCTGCTTTGAAACTTTCAGATTTTTGCTGCAATTACTTGCATGAGGAGGTCTTTGCATTTAAAACCTCTGTGTATCAAATAATTAGAAACTTCCAGGACAAATTTAAATTACTGTGACAGAAATCAAGAGGTTTGATTGTCTTCCTGCTTAATTTGCCCCTTGCAAAATTAAGTATATAAAATATACAATATAATAAAATATACAAATACAGCTCATTTTGGTTACTCTTTCTCTCTGCTGCTCTCAGCTTTGAAAGTACATCTTTATTTTCCTTCAAAACATATTTCCTTTAAAAGATCACAAATGATTGGGGGTTTTTATGACCATTCCTGCAACTGCAACCAACTGTTGATTTCTGCACTTAAAATACTGTGGGTTTAAGTACCTGAGAAGTCAGAAAATAATGAGCAGTAAAGATAAAAACACTTGGCTAGGATTCAGAAATGTTCTTGCTCAGGGTTTTCATTTGTCCTCAGCTGAGGAACAACTGGCAGGTTTGCCATTATTACTCTACATATCATTGTTGTTGTTTCTACTACTTACAACTGCTTTTGCCCAAAAAGCAATCTCATTTCACCAGGGAGAAATAAAGCAGGCCTGGGCAGGGTCAGCTTTGCTTTCAGCTCCTTCCATCATCATCAGCTCTGCCCAGCACCACATCCAATTTGTGCAGCACAAGCCTCACCAGGAACCATCACAAGGGAACAATTTCGAGAGGCTGGGCTCTGAAATCAAACTGTGATGCCTCAGCATCTCTTATCTTTCTTCTCAGAGGGCAGACTCAGAGTGGCATCATTCTTGCACCAAGGATTGAGAGGAGAACCAGACAGCAACCAGAGGCAAGCAAGCACAGCTGGCCAAGCCTTGCTCTGGGTGCAGGACTTGTGCTAAATCCCACATCAAGTACCTTTTGTGGGGGTATCATGAGGAAGAAAGAAGAAATCCTTAGGCTTAGAAACAAAATGTGCATGCCTATCTTAATTAATTTTGGTGCTCCAGGACTGCTCATCCCCTGACCCCCTTCCCAGCAGTCAGTTCTGTCCTGTGTCCTCTTTTCTGTGAACAGGAGAAAAAAAAAATAAATAAAAATGCTGCTTTCCCCTACCCATTTTTAGTAATGTACTTCTTTCCACCAGTTTTGACACAGTTTAAAGGAATAATTAAGATGCACTGGAAAGACATTTTGTCCTGAACCCAAGCTCTGCATGTGTCACCAGCAGGTATAAAAAATGCTGCTTCTCATTAATTTTGTCAAATGTTATTTGTATTTCACTTTTGATTCCAAAAGAAGCGTTAACTTTGCTTTTCTAAATTTAATGTTTTTCCAAAATAAAATAAGGGAGGAAAAAGGTCATTAACAGTGTCAAGAGATTTAACCTGTTTGGGTTCCTCTTCCTGACGACCACAAATACCCTAAAACCTGGAAAACCTCATGGAGCTGCTATCTATGGTTGGCAAAAACTGCATTTTCATTGATAAGGGAGAAACAAGTGTCCAATTCACAGTTGAGTCTGGCACATAGGCAAGAAGAAGCCAAAAAGTCACTCACAAATGGCTAAACATGCCAGACACTGAACAAGAGCAATTCCTTCTTGTGGGCTTGACATGCAAACTGGGTTTCTAAGGCTCCTAAGTTTGTTGCCTCTCAAAAGCAAGAAGGAAAAAAAATGAATTAATAAATTTCTGACCTACATTCAGTACGCTGGGTCCAGACACTTCCACAGGAGCTGCTCCTTACCTCTCCTCCACCCTCTGCCAAGCTGGCTTGGCCATTCCAGGAATCTGCTGCACACTTGTTTCCCCAAACCTCCACTCAGGTTGGCAGGGGGGCAAACCCACCCACCCCATTCTGACCATTTTCTCCAATTTACTCCGAAATGAAGCATTTTATTCTTTCCCACCCTCTCCCCTGAGCTCCCACCCTGGTATTGCCAAACCCCAGTGGGGCTGCAGAGGCTTTGTGGTGCTGGCATAAAAAGCAGGCATGGTTCTGCCAGGAAAAAAAATAAGTTTTGAGGGCCGTGCCCCAGGTACTGACCTCCAGGAGTGGCCTGGGCTTGCGCTCCACGGCGAACCTGAAGTGGCAGAGCTCGCAGTAGCTGGTGTTGGAGGACGACAGCCAGTGCTCCAGGCAGCTGCGGTGGATGGTCCCCAGCGTCCCCGTGCACTCGCAGGGGGACAGCAGCTCCTCGTGGCTGCTGCCCTCGTGGCAGATCCTGCAGATGGGGCGGTCATTGAAGGGGCTGCTGAGGGAGAGGGAGAGAAAACCGCTGGTCAGAGCGCCAGGCTGCGGTAATGGCCTTTGGCTCGGTCGTCAAATAGAAATATTTGTATTTAAGGGTGTTTTGCCCTGTGGTTGGTAATCCAAGCTGCTGGGCTAATGGTTTTGGTATTCCTGCTTAAAATATCTCCTCTTTTTGGTGGGGTGGGGAACGTGTAGAATGAAAAACATCAGAGTGGCGGATGAGAGGCAGAAGATACGTCCGTCTGTATTTTGTATTTCCCAGCTCTTCACAAAGCAGCGGTGCAGGCGCCTCAGGAAATCCCAAAGTGCATCAGGGAGGCTGTAAATCTGCCTCAGCTGGGCACTTCTTGATGTAGTGGTGATCCCCTGACCTAAACATTATTTCCACTGGCCAACAGTAAAGGGCTGCTGAAAGGGTACCCCGAAGGCAGGGCCACAGCTTCAGAAAAGCACGTGAAGGCAGGAACCTCCTCTCCCTGGAAAAGGTTTCCCTCCCTTTGGGACACCCCACAGACAGGTCAAGGAGTGATACCAAGAGAACTGTGCCAGGCACATCCCTGCTGTGTGGCTGCAGGTGGGTATTTCTTCTGCACTGCTTTAGGATCCATGAAGTCTTTCCAGCTCGCCACCAGCAAAGACAAATTTAATTTTGATCCAAGCATCAAGTCTGGATAAGGCCAAACACATCAGAATACTCTTTCTTGCTTCTAATGAGAACAAAGCCAGCCTGAGGCATGCTTCAAAGGCATAGATTAACAATATATTTCACCACTGATCTGCCTCTCTAAACCAGCAGCAGGAAGAGCTGGTCGATCACTTGGGCAACAGCAGAAGCTGCAAAGCTGGTGCTAGGAACAGCTTGTCTGGCTGCTCAGCACGCCAGCTGGGGGGTGTTTAGGAAGCCTGATGCATTCTGCAGGGTGACCATCACCATGCTGGCACCGGGGTTTAACCACACCAGGTGGGAAGGGGCCTGTCCCTCCTTCTGTCCCCCCACATACCTCTGCACGGCGAGGGTCCGCACGACGGACGAGAGCAGCTGCCCATCCTTGGAGGACACCTGCATGACATACTGGGGACAGCTGGTGGCCAGGCCCCCGCTGCTGCTGCTGCTGGGCAGGCTCTTGCCATCGGGGGCCGTGGGGCGCGGGCACTCCGGAGGGACTCCAGGCAGGTGGCTGCAGCGGTTCGTCCTCATGGCGCTGGGCAGGGGGTCCCCATCTAGGCAGGAACCAGGACAGGGAGGTGCTGTGGGGCACATCTCTCCCTGTCTGACCAACACCTGGCGTGAGAAGGAGCATCCCTCACTCCCCAACCCAAAATTCCCAAGCCCGCTCGGCAGGGAGAGGGGGTTTACGGCGTTGGGCGTCACAAAAATAAACACCGGCCTCAAGCAGCAAGCCAGCAACTCTGCTTTCTTCTCTCTGCAGACTCCTGAAGTCATGAGTGATAAATGGAGAGGCTGAACCCTTTGTCACTCCCCCCCACAAATGTTTCAAATGAATATACAGTCTTCACCCTTGTGCACTTTCAAATTTAAAGGCCGCCTGCCACTTGTCCGCCAACAGGGAAAGTGATGTACTAGAGGAGAAAGTGGCTGATCAGCTTCAAATCCCCTTTGAAAAAACTTCACTGCTGCTTAGTGTCTTCTATCACCAACCCACAGCAGAGCACAGACCTGGCAATTAATCCTGTACAGGGCTTTAGTCACACGAACCCACTTAATCACAGCCTGGGCGCAGCGGTAATTTATGCCACAAGGTGAGGCAGAAATCACAGCCTGCCCGAGCCTCTCTCCTCTGCTTTGCTCTTTCTCACATGGCTGTGAGTGTGTTCTGCAAGGTGCTTCCGACCACAGCAACGGGGAAGGAAGGGCTGTGCTGGGAGCAAGGGGTCTGGGCGTGTAAATTCCCTGATGCCTTGGTGGGATGGATGCTCCTGGTGGTGGAGGGCTCCAGCAGGCTGTGACCCTGCCGCCTTCCCCTTGGGGCCAGGCAGCAAAATCACACACACAGGGTGGGTGAACCCCGCTGAAAAAGCAGGGAAAGTTTCCCTAGCACGCCTTAGGACACCTGGCTGCAGTCCCATGTAAACCTTGCAGGTTGCAGTGGTGATATTCCCCTGTCAAAATCAGGAGCTTCCCCCTCAAAAACAAAATATTCTGCATCACCCACCACAGCTGCAGGGTGCCAGCGCTGCTGCTGAGAAGAATCTTTAAAAACCAACCAGGAATAAAACCCTGTAAACAGGGGTGTTTCTTCAGGGGTACAGGCACAAACCTTGTGACTTTGCTGGGTTTGAGCAATAGCAGCACAAACCTTTGGAAGCCCCCTGGAGGGATGTCCTTGGCAGCAAGATTTCGCAGAGCCCTGCTGAGGATGCTGGACCACTTGCACCACACAAGTTCTCCACACAGGGACTCGTGTTCTTAGAAAGGCATCTAAAATAGGAAAATGCTTTGGCAAAGCGTTTGCTTTGCAGGATTGCTTCAGCTATTTCCAGACCACACACACCCCAGGGAGTGGGCTGGAGGCTGATGAGACAGCTTACAGGGGAGAGAGTGCTCAGGGAATGGGGAAGGGAATCGGACTCTGGGCCTCATTTACAATGAAAATGAAGCAAATGGCTGATTGTCAAAACCATTAACATATAAAAGATGCAGACATTTCAAGAGAATAACAGCCACAGACTCTCCAAGGAGACCGTGGCGTTCAGCAACGTTTTAGTTTTAAAATCCGTGCTGAGACTGTTTAACAAGAAGGTTCAGCTGCTGAGTAGCTGCTTCATTAAACTTAAAAAAGCCTAAGAAGTATCATGCTTACAGACCCACTCTACAGAATTATATATTTCTTCCCTGATTGCTTCACTGACCCCATTAAGAACAACAGTGGGTTTATCATTTCATGTGAAATGACCATCCAGGCCTTTACAAACACATCCATCACTCACTTGATGAGTTTGGAGCATTTGCTGGAGCATCAGAAGATGCAACTAAATGCAAAAAAAAAGCCCACGGGAAATAATCTGACTATATCTCAGCAATGTTAATTCAAATTTCTGCCTACAGCACTGCATTGATACCTCACTTTGGCAGAGCAGACACAGGTAATCCCTTTCTACTTCTTTAAAAGGAAGTTGAAAGTTACAACATATTTTTCTGAATTCAGAAGAACCCTTTCCACACAAAATCAGTGCATGTGCCTGAAAAGAGATACAATTACAGAATTAAGTGATATGTGCTTTAATACTGAACCCCATGGTAAAGAATGGAGATTAGTTGTCCTGAGAAGCACAGAGATCCAAAGCAAATCCTAAATTAAAGCTGGCATTAAGGAATAGCAAATCCTAACAGCCACAAACTCCCAAAGTCAATATTTACCCATATGTATGTGTCATGTCATAAAGTTTTTCACCTGAAACAAGAGGAAATCAGTCAAAAAATGCCTCAATAAAAGAGAAAATAAAGATCAAAACCAGGAATTATATATATATATATATAAAATAATATATAATATATAATGTATAATGTATAATGTATAATGTATAATGTATAATGTATAATAGATAATAGATAATAGATAATAGATATATTATATTATATTATATTATATTATATTATATTATATTATATTATATTATATTATATTATATTATATTATATTAATTATCTTTTATATATTATATTATAGATAATGTTTATGAAGACAAGCAATATTAAATTGGGGAAGACAGAATATCAATATTTATTCCAGACACCAGAAAATTCTGAGAAAAGTGGCAAAATTTGGTATGATGAATGTGTGGTAGTATTTAGCTCTTTGTTTTTTCCTTCCTGTGTTGTCATTAGTCCTAGTTTTTCATATACCCTGATTATATATATATATACTTTTATATATCTATCTATCTATCTATATATATATATATATATGCTTTTACTATTATATATATATATATACACTTTTACTCTGATGCCTATATATATATAGGCATCAGAGTAAAAGTAGAGGTGTTGGAGATATTTTCTTCATGGAGTAGTTGTAAAAGCTATGACAAACCAACCAATAAACTCCAGCAATATTATCTGAAGGCATGTTGAAGCCAGGCAGAAGGTTCAAGTGCAGAAAACACCCTTTGCCCCATAATAATTTATAGGATGCTATATTCCTATTTAAGAGATTGATATGTACCAAAAAAAAACCCCACAAGGCTCAACAAGAGCCAGTGAGCAAGGCACTGCCACTCCAGTTGAGTTGCACTCAAATAAAATGCTAAGAACCAGCATCAATGCCCTGAAATGGAATTTAAAGATGAAGCCATCTGCAGAGCTGGAATACAGCTGGAATCCCTGTTCCTCTCTCCCTGGCTGTGCATGAGTTCACCCCAGTTCTCAGACCCAGAAAGCATCATCAGGGTGACAAATTATCATAGCAGAGCCTTTTTAAAGCAGTGCTGTTCTCCTGCTGAAGCTGTGAGTGGCTGAGATTTGCACAGGACAAAATGATCTTTTCACTTCGAGCAGGGGGCTGCAAATGTTGAACGTGGAGCAACTTGGGGAGCTGCTCCCTTTTCCTTTCTTTTTCCAGCATCTCTGCTAAGAATAGCACTTATTCCACCTCTCTCAGTCATGGTTTCAAACTTGGAAACCCTTTCACCTTTCTGATTCCACGTTCCCACGAGTTCACCCCATTAGTTTCAAGAAATGGGACACGAGCTTGCACCAATCAGCTTAAAAATGCGTATGGAAAACCACTAGCATCCCATCTGGAGACATTTTCCCAACAAATGCTGCATTATTTTAAAAAGACAGCCAAAAAAACTATTACTGGTATTAATAATAACAGCAACAAACCAAACCAAAACCAGAAAAAAACCCCACACCAACAGAAAAATCCCAAACATGTAGTGACACAGAAAAAAAAAAAAATAAAAGACAAACAAGAAAAAAATCCCAAAGAAACAAAAACAACAACAGAAAAAACCCTAAATAACCAGAACACCACCCCCCCCTAGTTTTCAGAAGCTTTCACAGATATTGTTTCCTATTTATGTATTTTCACATAATTTTGCACATTTTACTCCAGAATTTTGGACCTCAGCGACGTGTGGACAGTTTTTTCACTTGGGATTTCAGCAGATCTGGAGCACAGATAGAATAATCTATCTTCCTGCAAGCTGGAAGAATGGTGCAAGTTATGGAGGGGCACCTCCCACCTTCTTTTCTGCTATCAATTCTGGCTGGATACTGAGAATGCAAATTGCTGCATTCTCAGTAATAAATTCTGAGTAATAAATTCAGGTTTTCAGAAGGTGCCAGCAAAGAGGTTGTGTGAAAAAGGTATTCTCCACTGGCTCAAGTGTCACAAGATCATGCATTGCCTTTGTTTCTAGAAATGGGGAACAGGAACTCACCTCTCCCTCACCGAGGTTTAGACAATAATTTTATGCCACACTTTAGGATGCTCCAGAGACCAAAGCAGACATTGCACTTACTGGGTCACACAGTTTCCCCTTCCCACCAAAAAATGCAGGAGAAGAACCAAAATTCTCAACTCCAGAGCACTCTGAAACCTCCTAGATTTTTACCTACTAAGAAACAAAGCAGGGTACTCTGAAGGTGGAATAGCCAGAACACTTTATGAAAAGTAAGAACCCCTGGAGCACCTGAAAATCCTGTTTTAGTGGACAAACATCAAGTTTTATGTGCTTCCTTTCTCAGACACTCATATCTGGAATAGTTTGAAATGTTTCTTGACTCTCCCCTCCACAATCCACCACAAAGAGCTTCAGGGGATGCCCTCCTGGTTTCAAATACACAAATATTCAGTAAAGAGCTGGTGGAGTAACTGGCAGTTCCAGCTGAAACCATGGATGCTGCAGCTCCACAAGACCCCCCCCCATAGCAAAAAAAAAAAATCATTTATATAAAAACTAATTTCTTTAAAAATTAGTTTTCTCTAAAAATGGCTTTCTCTAAATTGAGAAGACAAATCCCTACACTTGATAATGGCATGTGACCCAGCATGAGGAGACAAAAAAGTACTGCCTGACCTGCTCATTTTGGAGCTCTAAAGCCATCAGAGAGAGAGGCAGCTCCAGGACACGGCAGTTCTGGTGAAGAAGGAGAAGAAAGCTGGAGAAAATTGTTTTTGGCCAATAGCATCCAACTTGCTATATTGCACCACCACCTTGTGAGGAGCTGTGAGGGACCACTGAAAGGTGCAAGAGGAAGATGTGGTAATTGTTCACCAGCTGAGGAGGACAGATTTCACATACAGAAGTGTTTCCACATACAGAAAGCAGCACAATATCAAACCCAGATGACATTGGGCAATTTTACTCTGTTCCAGCCCACATTTTATTAATTTTTCAGGTTGTAAATAGCATTTTCCATTCATCTGGCCTGACTGCAGAGAGCTCCAGGGGCTTTTAAAAACTGCCACGCAGTAGGCTGCATTCAAAGTGCAATTTTATAAACAAGTACATCAAAAAAAACCTGAGTGCTGGTCTGAGGCAGCACCACGAAGCAGTCCAGCACAAATAGTCCTTAAGAGTCTGACCATGCATTTAAAACTTCGCTGCCCACATAAATCATTGTTATTTTGTTATGTACTGAACCTTGAACCACTTTCCATGAGAGCAATAGACTGCCTTTTTGGCACTGTGAACTCTAATAAATTGCTTTATATGCCTGCACAGCCACTAACTTGAGTAATTTGCTTAGATTTGTATCCTTTTGTTGGTTGTTGAAATGAAAGTTTTTCAGGTGAT